CTCTCCCGGTAAGTAATTCCCTTCCCGGTAGGTAATTCCTCTCCTAGTAGATAATTCCTTTCCCGGTAGGCAATTCCTCTCCTGGTAGGTATTTCCTCTCCTAGTAGGTAGTTTCTCTCCTGGTAGGTAGTTCCGCTCCTTGTAGGTAGTTCCTCTCCAGGTAGGTAGTTCCTTTCCTGGTATGTAACTCCTCACCTGGTAGGTAATTCCTCTCCTGGTAGGTAGTTCCTCTCCTGGTAGGTCATTCCTCTCCTGGTAGGTAGATCATGCCAATAGGCGCTAATCTCTCATAACCATTGGGGTATCGGGTGATCTGTTTGTGCCTCAGATAGGCTGAGATGTTATTTGTAGTCTGACTCAGAAGTTGTAGATGATATACTAGATGTGCATATTCCCTTTGATATAGTAGATGTGCATATTTTCTTTGATATAGTAGATGTGCATATTCCCTTTGAGTATGACTCCCATCTGTATTCATACTGGCCGTTTAAGTTCGATTCGTGTTGCCCTTGTTGAGAGCCTGCGCACACATATCCATGTGAAGATTACAGATATGTGTACACATTTTTAATAGAATTTTTCATACAATGATTATTATATATTATATATTCAATTAAATATCAAATATCAAATACTAAATATTATTTAAAGAATTAAATATCAAATATTAAATACTAAATATTATATATCGAATATATGTATATTTGATATTAAAAATATCAAATAATAGAATATGTCCAGACCAACGAGCGGGAAGTCATTCATTCCCCATGCGGCGAAGAAAACAAACAAAACTTTCCGCATTCGGAAGAGCACTCTAAACAACACTTGGCAGCTGAGATTTGATTTCCAGGTCTACTATATCTTTAACTTAACTGGCCTATATACTAAAATTTCATTTCTTGAACTTAAAAGTCTGCGTATATAGGGCATATAAACCAACTTTTATTCCTTGACCTTAAAGTTTCACGCATGTAGTGCTTTTAAACTAACATTCACATTCCAGGTATGCTCGTCTTAATATCAATGTCTCGCCTATCCAGGGCTCGCCATAGGACTCATAATCCATAGCGAGGCTACTACCATTTGTTTTCCTTGGAAGTAGTAGGCCGAGTTATACGGCAGACAATACTTTGGCCACAGCCAACGGATCTCCATCGTTTTCCGCTAATAATTGGCAGTTCACCTGTATGTCGCCACCCAGCCCCAGCGAATGCAGGCGACGAAGCTCGGGTTCCCACTCATTGCACTCGGTGAGAATCATCCCTGAACGTAGCGCAAAGGTGGCAAGAACTATTAGCAACACACCCTACACAACCAAACAGCCTGGGCATCGCCTTGTTTGTACAGTTGGCTGTGAACGGGGTCTGGCATGTACGTACCTACACCGCTTCAACACCTGAAGTACCAGGCTAGTTGAGACTAGATATCGTTGGCCAGGCATTGGGACTTTTGGACTTGTTAGTCAATGAAGCAATGAGGTCTAGTGGTAGCTCTATAGAAGAAAACCATAGCGAGAAGCTGCTCACTCTGAAACAGCGCACATGCATACGATGTCCCTATGTATATTTAACATAATGACCATAGCGTCCCTCATACGACATCAGAGGCTTAAAATAAACCCTACAACCCTGAATACCTAAGCTTGGATTTCACCAGAGACCAGAAATGCAGCAAACCCGGATTATACCTACGCCTGGGAGATATCAAAGAACTTTGTAAATCAAACCCAAACCCAAAACCCTGAACTCAAGCCATGCGAGAATACCCTAAAACCTCAACTCTAAACCCTAGATACCTACCTATGCCTGGAATGCCGCGCAGTGGAGCCTGGGTATACAGTACGTGCAACGATACGACGCCATTGATAGATCCACTACTTCCCACTAACCCAAACTCCAAAACCCTAGAAACCTCAACTCTAAACCCTCGATACCTACCTATGCCTGGAATGCCGCGCAGTGGAGGCTGGGTATACAGTACGTGCAACAATACAACGCCATTGATAGAGTTACCGCTACTTGACCCCTGGATACGGCGAGATGCTCTACGTGACGCCCTGCGTACGGCTGTGGGTCCAACTAGCTGTAGACTGCCGCCTTTTTTCTTGCCACCTGCTTATTTTGTCATGTGACGGAATAATAATGATAACTTTATATATATATATATATATATATTTATAGCAAATGATGCGTGATCACAACCGTGCAGGTTGTCTTAATCTACGCAAAACGTATCATACACGCCTGTGTTTGTAGACATATCACAATAAACCCCTGCGTCTTATCAGCCGTCCTGCAGCACACGCCTGAAGTACATGCTTATATCACCTACATGGGAGGTACACGCGTATACCTACCTTCATCGGCTTCTCCTGAAGGCACAGACCGGTGCACGCAGTTGTCGGGTATCTTGGCACGGCAAGATTTATGCACATTCCAATTGCACCCTGAACACCTGTGGTATGCGTTCAAGTAAATTATTAGAACAGCCGGTCGTTCAGGATGGCGATCGACGAGCGAGCGTGTGTACGTTAAAGTAAGAAAGTTGAAACAGACTGCCCTTTCCAGTGTCTATAGAGAGACTGTGACAGTATCCGCTGAGGTTGGTAATGTGGTTATTGGCTATTGGTTTAGCGATGATTGAAGTGATTGGTATAGTTTTAGTGATGAGTAGTGTGATTGGTATTGTTCTAGGGATTACCCGATGGACTGGTATTAGCTTAGAGGTGGATATAACGACTGCGTAAGCTTCGAGGGGTGCAGATAGCGATTCCTATCAATAGGGGAGGGTGGAGAGATTGGGTAACTTTTCGGGGGCTAATAGAGTGATCGTTATCCATTTTAAAGGCAGATGAATTGAAAAACACATCACCGAACCGCAAGGAGGCTCTATGAATATGAAATGCAAAGATCAAGGGACTTCGCATTTAATACAAACACACAATATATATATATATACATTTACATATATATATATATATATATATATATATATATATATATATATATATATATATATATACACAATATATATATATATATATATATAATAATAA